GCTGGGGCCGGGGGGAGGGGCAGGGTGCAGGGTGGTGGTGGTGGTGGGTGGGGAGGGAGGGACAGGGGAGGGGTGGCAGGGCTGATGAGCGCCGCAGCTTGCGACAGGTGACTCCCCAGCACGCCTGATGCGGCGAAAAATCAGCGAGGAAGCAGTTGAAGCACCTGGTGCCTGCCACCGTTACGGCAGCCCACGCACCACACCCAGGCAGCCCACCCACCTGGCTGACCTCCTCCACGTTGATGGGGGCGGCCACGCCGGAGCCGCCAGAGGGGCGCGGCGCGGGGGTGGAGCCAAAGCCCACATACTTGCCGCCTGCACGGCGGCGGCGGCAGCGGCGGCAGCGGCGGTGCGGGTCAGCCACGGCCGGGCCAGCGCAGCCGGAGGCGGCAGGCTGATGCCAGATCCACGCAAGCCGGGTGCGGCACGCCCAGCGGGGCACCAGCAGCAGAGCGGCGCAGGGCTGCTTGCGCCGCATGGCGCCCCGCCGGGCAGCCTCGCTCACCCTGGCTGGGGGGCAGGCCCTCTGGCCGGCTGGCATTCTCCACCAGCTTGCGGTTGAAGAAGTTGTCCTTGTCGTTGGCGGACGCGTTGAGCTGGCTGAGCGTGTACTCGTTGCCGCTGCGCTGCTTGGCCGCCGTGGCCGCCGCCGCCGCCGCCGCCGCCGGCTGCGCCGGTGCTGCCGCCGCCCCAGTCGTCCCACTCCGACTGGTGAGGGCTGGCCGCGAAGCTCTTGTTGCGCGGCATCATGCGATTGTCGGAGGTGGGGGCCGGGGGGGCGTAGGGGCGGCCATCCACCTCGGCACGCAGCTTCTCACGGAAGTACTCTGCTCAGGCACAAGTCAGGAAGTGGCAGGCAGGGCGGCAGCACGGTGAGCAGCACGGTGGCAGCCGTGCTCGATCCGGCACCCTGCTGGCACAGGCGCCGCATGCTGGCCGCCCCTGCTGGCACACGGCTGCTCATCCGGCACCAGCACCAGGGCACCGGTGCGCAACCAAACACGACCCTGGTGCCCTGCGCAGCGCGGCCTCACCCGCCGCCTTGCTGTTGTACTTCTCCCGTATCTCCACGGCCTTGGCCACGCCGTACTGCTCCAGAAACTTGTTCAGCTTGTCGTTGCCGCCCAGCTGCATGCGGCGCAGCTGGTCGGGGTTCCAGGCATCCATGGTGACAGACCTGCAGTGGAGTGGAGTGGAGTGGAGTGGGGTGGAGCGGAGTGGAGTAGAGCGGAGTGGAGGGTAGGGGGGTGGAAGCAGGGCAATCGGACAGCACATGGGGAGCTGAGCTGGCCGCGTGCCTGCAGCACCCAGCTGAACGCCGGGCGCGGCTGCAGCCGGGCCCTGCGGCTGGCAGGCGCTTCGGTGTGTACCGGCAGCGGCGCAGCGGCTGCCGCGGCGCGGCAGCTGGCCGGCTGCCGCACCTGACAAAGCTGATATGCACGCCCAGGCCGCGGTGCTTGCCGCTGCACTCCAGGCACATGAAGATGCCGTAGGAGACCGATGCCCACTGCGGGTTCTTCATCTCGCAGTCGACGCACACCTGCGGTGGCAGCGGGCGGCGGCGGCGGGTGGGCGGTGGGAGTTGGCGGCGGGGCGGGCTGGCCTGCAGCCCCCGCTGCGGGTCCCAGATTCGCTGTTGGCCGCCACAAATACGGGGCGGGGAGTGGAGAGCTCCACGAGGCAGCCGCCACTTGAGGCAGCGGGCGCAGGAGGTCAGGTCCAGGCGCGAGATCGTATGCGGTGCGCCAGCTCTGGTGCCCCGGCTGCTCCCCACAGGCGCTGCAGCTGGCGAACGCGGGCGGGGGCGGCTCACACCTTGTTCTGGGCCTCTGACTGCAGCCCCCGCAGCAGCCGCAGCGCCTCTGGCTGTGCCATCGATCTGGGAGCCCGCTGGCGATCTCAGAACCCGGCGGGAGAGCTGCCTTGGGCCACCCGCTGACTCAGGGGAGTGGAGGGCAGCTAAGGCCAGGGAGACCGCACCAGCGAGTGTCCCAAGGGTCAGGGCAATCCCAGGGGCCGGGCTAAGGGAGCGGAGCTGCAAGGGGCCTGTGGAAAGCGGTCTAGCTGGCACGTTTGATTCCAGCCTCCCCCGCTGGCCGCCACGCTATGAATTGGCAGTGCGGATTAGCAACAACGGCTCAGAAACCTCCTGTCCTTGCCGGGACAGCGATCATCGCCTCCTGTGCTCCCTTCCTCTCCCCGCTTCTCCCACAACGCAATGGACGACTTGTGGGGCTATGGCGGTGACGAACCCGAGCCGGATCACTTCTCAGACAGCAGCGGTAGGCCGGCAGCCGCCCCCGCCACCCACCCGACCGCCACCTGCCGCCGACCCAACCCACTGCCGGCCTCCTGCTCGTGCAGACGACCGGCGCCGTGCCCGGTCCGACTCGGAGGAGGCAGACCTGCTGCCCCAGAAGAAGCGGCTCAAGCTGAGGCAGCTGGGATATGGCAACGGTGGCCGGCGCGGCCGCAGGGGAGCACGCGGTGGCATCGGCCAAGGCGGCGAGGGCGATGCCGAGGTGCTAGTGCTGGACAGTGACGATGATAGCGACAGGCAGCTGCTCCGCGAGGCGGCACGAGGAGGCGCCGCCGGGCGCAGCACCGCCTCCAGCCTGGCGGCGGCCACCGCAGCGGCGGCAGCTGCAACGGCAGCAGCGGCAGCGGCAGGCGCCTCGCGGGCGCCAGCCTGGCGCCAGGGCAGCGGCGGCGCGGCCGCGGCGCTGGACCCGCGCAGCGCAGCGCTGCTGCAGCAGGCGCAGGCCATCCAGCAGCGCCTGAAGGCGGCACAGGAGGAGGAACTATCGGAGGATGAGGACAGCGAGGCGCCAGGTGGGCTGCCGCTGCATCCGCCGCTGCTGCATTGCTGGCTGGCTGGCTGGCTAGCCCGGCTTCAGACCCGGCAAGGCTGCTCAGCAGCAAGCACCGGCAGTTCGTCCGGACGGATTGCATGCAGCGCTGTGCCGCCTGTTACATTCGGTCTGGCCAATGCACTGGTTTTGCCATGTGAGGCATGCAGCTGACGGGGGGCGCCTGCACTGCAAAGCACTCGATCAAATGCCTGATGCTCTGCCCGCCCTGCCCACCCTGCCTGCCCCTCTTCAGACCCCAGCCCAGTCGTTTTAAGAGGAGCCGCAGCAGCAGGCGCTGCAGCCGCCGCTGCCAGGCAGCGGCAGCAGCAGGCGCAGCAGCCGCGGTGCTCGCGGCGCTGCGATCTGGACCTCACTGGCGACGGCAGCGAGGAGGGCAGCCCAGGCTCGGGGGCGGCGGCAGGCAGCGAGGAGGGGGAGGGATCGCCTGGGGTGGCGGGAGGGTCGCCGCTGCCGCAGGCGGCGGCAGCTGCGGATGAGGGCAGGATCTCGCTCAAGCTGCGCAGCGCGCATGCGGGGGAGAAGGTGATGCGCATGAGGAGGGAGGACCCCTTCAGCAAGCTCTTTGCAGCCTACAGGTGCGCCGCCGCTGCACCGGCGCCGCAGGCAGCTGCGGCAGGAGGGATGCGTTGCGCCGGCCTCTCGCGTGGCTGCCTGCTCATGCAGGCACCGCTGTGGTTGTCCTGGCCTGCCACCGGTGCAGCCGCAGCTGCCAGCCCAGCCCACAGCCCTGCCGACATTCCTGCCTGCCCCGACCCGCTGCTGTGTGCAGGAGCTGGGCAGCGGAGGCGGGCCACATCTCGAGCGCGGATGCCGCCCTGCGCTTTCTGTTTGACGGCGACCAGCTGGGGCCGGGGCAGACGCCTGCCAGCCTGGAGCTTGAGGGCGACGAGTGCATCGACGTCTACTTCTGATTGATGTCATTCTGATGAGTTGGCGCCAGCAGGGCCTCCTGGGGGCAAGCACCTGTCTGTCAGCCTGTCACCAGCCCCCTTCCGCCCCCACACGTGGAACGACCAGGCCTGAATTGCACTCTGCCAGCTGAAGAGCCCTTGTTGCCGGAGACATGTAAATCCACCTGCCCACCCACAGCACACGGATACCAGCGGTGGTGCATTCCCGATGTGAAGCAGCAGAAACATTCATTGAGTCATCGAAATTGCAGTCTTAAGTTGCACTGGTGCAGCGACACAAGAACGCAAAGCGTGCCTACATCGCATCACATGCCAGCTCCACACCTCACTCGCTGTGCCACACCAGGCCCACAGGGTTGGCCTGCAGCAGGGGCCCCTCGCCAAACCCTGCCAGCTCCCCATCCCTGCCATCCAGCTGCATGCTGCTTTGCTGGGAAGCAATGGTGCTGAGGTGCGACACACCGCCGTGGTGCTGCAGGCTCTTGCCGCTGCCCGCCGGCTTGGCCTCCGCCTGCACCTGTGCCGTCAGCGCTGCCACCAGCTGGCGCAGCAGCTCACGAGCCGCGCCGCCCTCATGCTGCTGCCCATCTTGCTGCGGCCCCGGTGCTGGTGCCTGCTTGAAGCTGGTGCCAGGCGTGCCGCGGGCACCGCCCTCCAGCCAGCCCAGCACCTTGCCAGCAAGGTGCAGCAGCAGGGCGGGCTGCTGGCTGCGCAGCAGCGGGTACAGCTGGCTGCAGTCCAGGCGAACCAGGTTGCAGGTGGTCAGCGCCACAGCGCCCGCCTGGTGCCAGCTGGGCAGGCTGCCGTCGGCCACGGCGGGCTGCATGGCGGGGTCTGCCGCAAACAGCTCCGCCAGCCCCAGCACAGCAGGAGCCACAAATATGCCGCCAGTTCCGTCGGCCTGGGCTGCCATGCTCATGCGGCCTGCACGGAGGGGCATACATGCATGGTCTGACTGAGTGCACCGCATGCACAAGAAACCCACAACATCCAACTTCGCTGGCTGGCCCGCTCACATAGAAATGTGCATGCGCTGCTGAACCACACATGCCGGCCTCTTGCTGCCATAACATCCTACAGCCTACCTTCAATGAGGAGGAAGAGGCAAGGAGCGCCAGCAGCTGCAGCTGCGGCGCCGTCGCCTGCGCCCTCCACCTCAGGTGACGCCGCCGCCAGCGGCTGCCCCGTAAGGAGCACCGTGGGGGAGGCGGCAGAGCCCACCAGGGCGCAGCCCTCCCTCATCTGCTTGTGGTGCATGCCGGGTGGAAAGAAGCCGACCTCCTCCAGCAGAGGCCGGGCATTCTGTGCCATCATTCGGTCGCGCAGGTCATCGGGCAGCTCACGGAACAGCTCCTGGCGTGTCCTGAAGCCTGCGGGCCGCCAAGAGACAGTTTTCAAGGCCGTTACTAGGCTACGGGATGCATGGGAGTGGGTGGCTGCGGCCCAGCCCCAGCTTCCCCCGGTCAGCGCATGACGCTCCACAGGCACACGCAGGCTCACTGGGCGTGTCTCATGGCTCAGCATGACCTAGCCAAGCCCTCCACCCCGCACCGCAGTGACACACACACACACACTGACAAAAAGTCTGTGCTGCAAGCTTGTTCTTGCTGATCCCAGACTGTAAGCCCACACAAGCAACACACACACACACATGCTGCTGAAAGATATGGTGGCAGCAGGTTCTCACTTGGCGGCGGGCCCCAGCTGGTGGTAAAGTAGTGGCGGATGTGGCGCTGAAGCTGGCGGGACAGCTTCGCGTGGGCCATGGCATCCTCCACATCCTGCAGGAGCGCATGGTACCGCAGCGTACCGCCACCCAGCCAGGAGGGCAAGCAGCGAGTCGTCTTGGCACCATGATGAGAGCCAGACCAACGCCTCAGCTTCTCAAAGGAAATCGAACCCGCTAGGCTCCCGCTGCACAGCAAGGGGCGCGGCAGGCCAGCGCCCCGCCCCACTCTGCCCCTGCCCTGCTAGGCCGCACCTCCAGCTTCTGCCGCACCGCCTCGGCGCGCTTGGCGGCGGGGCCGGTTGAGGTGATCAGGGTGGTGACCACATTCAGGAGGTAGCCGAAGAAGGCGACTGCGGGAGGCAGGGGCAGCAGGTGTGGGGCGCACGCCGCCATCCAGCACTGCCCACCCACGCTCTAGACATGCCCCCTTAGCCTGCCCAAAAGTTCCCCTGCCTGCCACCCACCTCCCACCACCTCAAAGAAGATGGTGACGCCGGTCTCCCTGATTGTGACCGGAGTGATGTCGCCGTAGCCTGAAGGCAGGGAAGGCAGCGGCGGGAAGGAGAGGGGTGAGAAGACGGGGTGAGAAGAGGGGGTGAGAAGCACCAAAAGCACCACAACATAGCAGGCACCAGGCAAGGGGCGCCTGCAGGACGTGCTGATGTGCTGGCCCCGCTGCCGGCCTGCTGGCGGCTGAGCTGGCGGCCGCTCACCTATCGTGACCATGGTGGTCAGGGCGAAGTAGCAGGAGACGAGCCAGCGCTGGGCGTCGGTGGCGGTGAGCAAGTCGTAATCCTTGGTGACTGCGGCGGGGAGGGGCAGGGCAAGGCAGCAAGCCTGGGGTGACAGTTACTCCACTTGGGTGGGGCAGCCAGCCCCGCTGTGTTGCACAGCGCTCCGGCTGCTGGGCCTCCCCTGCTCCCCTTGCCAGCTGGCCTCGGAGCCCTGCCTCCATCATACCACCAGCATCATACCACATGTCCCCAGCTTGGCAAGTCCCGCACTGGAAGATGCATGTGGCATGCCCCACACTCACTGGCGGCAGCCCACGAGTTCTCCAGCCCCTCAGTCTCCGCCACGTTCCACCAAATGCAGCCCAGCAGGTTGACCAGCACGCAGAGGGTGAAGAGGGCGTGGATGAGCAGCAGGGTGCGCGTCGTCAGCGCCGCCGCCACAAACTGCAGCGGCCCGCCCACCGAGCTGCGCGACAGGCCCGACAGCAGGCGCGCCACCCTGCGAACGAGCAGGAGGCAGGGGTTGGTGGGGACAGGGGCGCTGTATACCTGTGAGGGAGGGAGGGGCACAGAGCAGCGCCCTTTGCCGGCAAGCGCCGCTGGCGCAACCAGCCACCATGCCCGCTGCGCGCGCCCACCCACCTGATCAACCGCAGCAGCCTGAGCATGTAAATGATGCGCACGGCCGAGGTGTCGTTTCCGGCTGCGGCAATGCCGATTTGGGCAAACAGGGGCAACGTGGCGACCAGGTCCGCCCAAAAGGTGCCGTGCTTGGTGTAAAACTCCATTGCCACGCGCGCGTCTGCGGTGCAGCGGCGGCAGGCCGTGCAGTGGCAGCATCGATGGGCATCCAGGGCGGGCATCGCCACCCATCCTGCCTTTGCCACGGTCTCAATCACCCTGCCGTTGCTAAATACAAAACGCCCCCAGCACCCCTGCCACTCGCCTTGCACAATGACCGCGCGGCCCTCCCAGCTTGCCACCACTCCCATGTGGAATCCCATAAATAAATCAGCCATGTAGATGATGCTGCCGATGATGTCGGTGATGCCTAGCCACCCCGCCTCGAAGCCTTGGGTGGTGTTGAATGCCAGCGAGAAGGCGACCACAAAGGCGGTGTATGTCAGATCGAGGCAGTTGGTGATGCCAAACCTGCTAGGTGCAGGGAAGGAGGGAGGGAAGGACAAGGGATGGGGAGGCAGGGAGGAGAAGGAGGGTGCACAGTGCAGAGCAGGGTGGGGCATTGGGGGGCAGATGAAGTCGGCAGGGGGCACTCCAAAGCCCATTTGATGGCGTCAGTGCACTGCCAGAGGGCCATGCTTTGCAGCAGCAGCAGCATGCAGCAAAAGACAGGGCTGCCATGCAGAGCAAGCCTGAACGACAACAGGAAGGGGCCAGCAGGCGGCCGGCGGCAGCGCACCAGATGCTGGCTGGCAGGCTCACGGGGCTCAGCATTGGCAGGCAGCAAGCCGAGCGGTGCGGGCTCTGGGCTGCCGCCCTCAGCCGCATGAAGTCACGAAAGTTGCAGGGCCAGGTGCGGGAGGGCACGGTGGGCAGCGTCTCGGCAGGGACTTCCACCCCCGTCCTCACTCCCATCGCGGCCTGGTGTGTCGTAGCAACCAATTCAGATGGTGGAAGGGGGAGCAGGCGCCCTGCGATGCTGCAATGAGTCGGGGACGAGCAGTCCGGTGAACGGAGCACACCCCAGGGGCCTGGCGGGGCTGCGCTCGCTTTCACGAGGCATCACGTGAGAAGGGAATGTGCCAAATGACGCATGCATGTAGGGGGACAAGTCGCCGACGTGGCGTTGCATTTGCGAGCAGTACTGACCGAGCAAATTGGCTGCAAGGACTGGGTGGGAGAGGGCGTGGCGGTCGCATCCGATCCATGCGGTGCAGGCGGCATCACTGCTGGGGTCCCCTGCGTGTGCCGCCCTCCCGGTGCCCGCCCGTCCGCCGCACCACCAGGTCTGCCGCTGGGGCTGTTGAAGGTGGCCAGTTAGGCGCAGGCACCACAGCTGTGCTCCACCATTTGCAAGTGTCACCCACTCCAGGGAGGCCGCTGGCCAGGCTGCAATGAGAAACGGTGGCGCCCCAAAGCAAGATGTGGCTGCAACCTTGGCTGCCAGAACCTTTTCCGACAGCAAGCGATCAGTGGGCCGGTTATAACGATAATGACTAAAATGATTTCTCCACGTCACTCACGGTGCCACACCAGGCCCACGGGGTTGGCCTGCAGCAGCGGCCCCTCATCCACGCCGACAAGCTCCCCATCATCCGTATCCAGCTGCATGCCGCTCTCTTTGGAGGTGGCGCTGCTGAGGTGCTGCGATCGCCGGCCCAGGTGCAGCAGGCTCTTGCCGCTGTCCGCTGGTTTGGCCTCCGCCTGCACCTGTGCCGTCAGCGCTGCCACCAGCTGGCGCAGCAGCTCACGAGCCGCGCCGCCCTCATGCTGCTGCCCATCTTGCTGCGGCCCCGGTGCTGGTGCCTGCTTGAAGCTGGTGCCAGGCGTGCCGCGGGCACCGCCCTCCAGCCAGCCCAGCACCTTGCCAGCAAGGTGCAGCAGCAGGGCGGGCTGCTGGCTGCGCAGCAGCAGGTACAGCTGGCTGCAGTCCAGGCGAACCAGGTTGCAGGTGGTCAGCGCCACAGCGCCCGCCTGGTGCCAGCTGGGCAGGCTGCCGTCGGCCACGGCGGGCTGCATGGCGGGGTCCGCCGCAAACAGCTCCGCCAGCCCCAGCACAGCAGGAGCCACAAATATGCCGCCAGCGCCGTCGGCCTGGGCTGCCATGCTCATGCGGCCTGCATCAAGAGCATGCAGCATTATTCTCCGGCCCGCTCAGTAGCGGTGGCGAAATTGCAGCACAACCCACACATGCCCCAACCCTAAACCCTCTTGCTGGCAGCATAGCCTGCATTCCCACCTTCGTTCAGCAGAAAGAGGAAAGGAGTGCCACCTGGTGCGGCGCCGTCGCCTGCGCCTTCTACCTCAGGTAACCCCGCCGCCAGCGGCTGCCCTGCCAGAAGAACCACAGGCGTCGCGGCAGAGCCCACCAGGGCGCAGCACGCCTTCATCTGCCTGTGGTGCATGCCAGGAGGAAAAAAGCCAACCTCCTCCAGCCGGGGCCGGGCGTGTTGCGCCATCAGCCGATCACGCAGCTTAATTGGCAGCTCCCGGAACAGGTCCTGGTGCGTCCTGACGCCTGCAAGAGAGCGACTGACAATTGATCAGTGTTGGTTTGACCAAATCACAGGGCAACAACGACTGTGCCAGCTAGCCAGCCGCAATGAGGTCCCGGCAAGGCTAGCTCACTTGGCGGCGGGCCCCAGCTGGTGTTGAAGTAGTGGCGGATGTGGCGCTGAAGCTGGTGGGACAGCTGGACGTGGGCCATAGCATCCTCCACGTCCTGCAGGAGCGCACGGTACCGCCATCAACGCAGCGGGAAGGCGAGCACACCCAGAGTTGGTGACAGATGAGGCATGTGAGTGGTGAGAGGCATGCAAGACGCCTGTGCTTCTCAGTAAATGTAAATGGAGTACGAGCCGCACCTCCAGCTTCTGCCGCACCGCCTCGGCGCGCTTGGCGGCGGGGCCGGTTGCGGCGATCAGGGTGGTGACCACATTCAGGAGGTAGCCGAAGAAGCCGACTGCGGGAGGCATGGACAGAAGGCACAAGAGGGCATGCGACAGGTCTCAGCTGGGGGCAGCGTGCAGGGCAGCATGCCGACGCGGCAGCGAGGATGCCATCGCGCCATGCAGGGCAACCCGCCCAAACACGATCCCACTCCTGTGCCACCCACCTCCCACCACCTCAAACAGGATCGTCACGCCGGTCTCCTTGATGGTCGTAGGAGTGATGTCGCCATAGCCTGCAGGCAGGCAGGGGGAGGGACGGGAGCAGCAAGGAATTGATGGGGTTGGGATAGGAACAACAGGGCCACAGGGAAGATTGAGCAGAGAGGGGATGCCTCCCACAACAAAGAGGGAGGGCTCCTCCCTCAGCAACAGCACGGCGGCTGGTGGTGCTGGCTGCTGGGCTGGCGGCCGCTCACCGATCGTGACCATGGTGGTCAGGGCGAAGTAGCAGGAGACGAGCCAGCGCTGGGGGTCGGTGGCGGTGAGCAGGTCGTAATCCTTGGTGACTGCGGCGGGGAGGGGCAGGGCAAGGCAGCCAAGTCCGATCAGCTGGCACTGACGGAGCACTTCAGCGCTGGCATTGTGGGGAGCGGCTGGCTGACGCAGCGTCGCGTCAAACTGCATCATGCGGCTCGCTGGCCGCTCGGCCTCCTCTACTATGCCCCTAAACTCCCTTTCCCCTTCTACTCTCTACTTCGGTCCGCCCACACTCACTGGCGGCAGCCCACGAGTTCTCCAGCCCCTCCAGTGCCGCCACATACCACCAGATGGAGCCCAGCAGGTTGACCAGCACGCAGAGGGTGAAGAGGGCGTGGATGAGCAGCAGGGTGCGCGTCGTCAGCGCCGCCGCCACAAACTGCAGCGGCCCGCCCACCGAGCTGCGCGACAGGCCCGACAGCAGGCGCGCCACCCTGCAAATGGCCAGGTGTGTGAGCTGCCGATCACCCGCAATGTGTGTCCCTATGCGCATGCGTGTGATGCAGCAGCCCATGCCTCCCAGCCCCGGTGCCACACAATGGAGGCCGCCCCACGGCACGCAGGTGGGCCCCACCTGACTAGCCGCAGCAGCCTGAGCATGTAGATGAAGCGCAGGGCCGAGGTCTCGTTCCCGCTGATGGCAACGCCGATCTGGGCAAACAGGGGCAATGTGGCGAGCAGGTCGGCCCAGAAGGTGCTTCGATTGACGTAAAACTCCATTGCCACGCGTGCGTCTGCAGTGCAGCGGGGGCAGATCTTGCAGCGGCATCAGCAGCGCAGCAGGGCCAGCCTAGAAGGGGCCACAGCCCTTGGCCCTGCCCCGCACACCGTCCTGGACAATTCTTGCCTTGCACAATGACTTGCTTGTGTGGGCTTAAAGTCTGGTAAAGCAAGAACTAGCTTGCAACATAGACTCCCCGCCGAAACGGGACGGGAACCGGGCGAAAGCAGAGAAAGCAATAAAACAGGGGTGGAGCAAGGCGACATGCAACGCAAGCAGCTGACAGGGCACGCATCGAAACGTGTGTATGACTGGCAAAGTGGCATGGCGCATTGGGGAGAAACGCAACGGTACGGGAGCATGGGCTGGCCAAACGGCAGTGCGGAACGCTAGGTCACTAGAAAAGCAGGGAAAGGCGCACTATGTATGCAATGAGGGCAGCCCCGGCTCGGGGCCGTTGAGAAAGCAGTGGGCGGGAGGGGGGAGGCCCCGGTGTGGGCGGGCCCCATCGAGAGGGGATGGGGCGCGCAAGCGGCCAGATGGGGCGGGGCGCGGGCGGCAGTAGAGTCCTGCGGCTGGGTGGGATATAGGGCAATGAGCGTTGAGCAGTGTGCGATGAGCAATGAGCAATGAGCAGTGAGCAGCCCCTCCCTAAACAAAGTGAAGCGCGG